TCATCAAAGAGAACCTCCTTATCCCCAGTCCCCCCAAGGGCTTTGGAGAGCAAATTGTAGTCCATTTCATGTAACAGTTTTTTGTTGTGTTGGAATGCCCTGCCCACCAAAAGTTTTTCTACAACCTATCTAGGCTTCTACATAGAACTGAAGGAAGCATGCTTGTTTGCATGGTATACACAGGGATGCTTTGGGTAACTACTTTAATGAGAGTGCTACGACCTGCTCATGAGAGAGTTTTTGCTTGCCAGTGCTCTACCCTCTAATGTTTTTTTGGTGTGATTCAATCCATTTTCTAGCCAGGTTCCAAGGTATTTGAAGTTGTAGTTTATTATCTTCATTTTGACTATTGTACTCAATAGCTTTTGGTGGGTTTTGTGCATATTTTTGCTGAACATGACACCAGATTTTGCAAAATTTATGTATTGGCCTAAAATTTGCTCAAAGAGTTTGAGGGTAGTTTTAATCTAATGGAAGGATTCAGGGTTGGCCTTGCAGAACAAAAAACGGTCATCTGCAACCAAAAGATGGGTGATGGGCTTTGAATTTCTAGCTAGCTTTATTCCTTAGAGTTTTGAGAGACTCTCTTCTCTATGAAGAAGTGATGAGAGAGTCTACATTCCAATAATGAAAAGGTATGGTGAGAGAGGGTCCCCTTGCCTTAAGCCTCTTTTGGTAGTAAACAAGTCCATGGATGACCCATTTAGCTTTATTGAGAAGGATGAAGTGGAGATACATTGCCATATCAAGTCACACCAATCTGATGGGAAGCCCATTTTTTTCATTGATTCTATAAGAAAATTCCAGCTCATTCTGTCAAAGGCCTTGGCCATGTTAATTTTTAAAGTTGTCCACTTCATTTTCCCTTTTTGAGTTTTGAGTTTGTGGATGATTTCTTTGGCCAGGATAACATTATCTATAATACTCCTTCCTTTGATAAAGGTTGCCTGGTTTGACTGGATTAGATTTGGGTGAAGAGGCTTGATTCTATTGGCTAGGACCTTTGCCAGGATTTTGTATGTCACATTGCTTAAGTTAATTGGCCTAAAGTGTTCTGCTTTCTCAACACCCCTCATCTTTGGGATGAAGACAAGATTGGTATGGTTCATTTGTTTTAATAGTCTTTTGGAGTGGAAGAAACTTTGTATCATTCCCGTGATTTCATCTCCCACTAAATACCAATAGTGTTGGAAGAAGAAGGCTGTGTAGCCATCTGGGCCGAGAGCTTTATGGGGATTCATCTAAAACAAGGCCAGCTTGACTTCTTCTTTTTGAGGGGGTAACATGAGCTTTTAGCTTTCTTCAGATGGTATTTAGTTGAATTTGAATGTTTCTAGGAGGGTAGGTTCAAAATTCTCTTCCTGTCCTGAGTTGTTCAAGAACTGATTTTTGAGGAGGTCTGCAATAGCTTTTGGACTAGTGGCCCATCTCTCTTGGTTGTCCTTCAGACTTTCTATAGTTCCCCATCTCCTTCTAAATTTTGTTTTCTAGTGAAAAAATTTTGTATTTTTGTCCCCTTCTGAGAGCCATAACTCTCTAGATTTCAGCCTCCAAAGTTGCTCCTCAGCAAGAAGCCATTTATTGTATTGAGCTTCCAATTCACCTAGTTTGCTACTATCATCTTGGCTGGACTAAGCTAGCATGACCTCTTGCTCCAGTTGTGTTAATTTCTTATGAATATCCCCAAATGTGTTTTTGTTCTAGACTTTGAGTTGATTCTTCAGGAGTTTGAGTCTAGTTGCAATTGAGTGAGCTTTGAATCCTAGAACTGATTGGTTCCAAATTTCTGTAACTATACTGTCACAGTCCTTGTGATTTACCCACATTGGAAGGAAATGGAATTGTTTCTTTCCTTCAGACTGGTCAGGTTTGGTATTGAGAAGAATTGGGGAATGGTATGAGTTTATGGCAAACAAAATTGATAGTTTGGTGTTAGGAAACCAGGTTAGCCACTCCACACTAGCCAAACCCTTGTCAAGTCTTTCTCTCACTCTTTTTTTTAATGTTGCTTGTTTGTCCAAGTGTAGTAGGGCCTTGAGAAGCCTAGGTCCGAGAGGGCAAAATGGTCAATTAGATGTCTAAGATGCTGATAAGGTCTTGTTCTACTACTTGGTCCCTTATAGTCCTCTGGGTGGACTATGTCATTCAAATCTCCCATTAAAAGCCAAGGGATTCCTCTTAGATATGGTTTTGAGGTTACAAAGTGTAGCCAGAAAGCAGCTCTGTCCCCCTAGTTAGGCATTCCATATAAAAGCACAAAGTTCCATGGTTCAAAGGAATCCGTGTAATTTCTAGTTAGTTTAATGTACCTCTGAGAGCTATCTATTATTGAGATATTTAAGTTATCCTTCAAAGCACTGAGAAGTCCCCCACTCAGACCAACTGAGCCTACAGTCTTGAAATTGAAATATCCCAGTGATTTTGAATATTTCATGGCTTCTTCTTTTAACATTTTTGTTTCTGATAGAAACAACATGTCTGGGTTATGTGATTTGCACCACCTCCTAATTGTTCTTTGAACTTCTTTACTCCCCCCCCCCTTACATTCCAAGTTAGTATTTTCATTGTATTTGCAAGACTTTGAAAAGAAAATGATAGATAGACTAATACTAGGTAATCCAAAGCAGAGAAATGCAAGTTTATTTGAACGAATATAATGTACAGTAGGGAATATAAATGGATAAATATCTAAAATACAAAAGTTGTTAATGAAGCAGCCCTCTGTTGTTGTTCTTTCCAAAGAATGTCCCAAGCTTCTATCCATGAAGAGTCTTCTAGGCCAATGAGATTTTCTAGGCTTCTATGAAAGTGATTAGGTCCTTGATTTTGCAGGATCATTGAATTTTGGCTTGCCGGTAGGGGATCTAGGATACTAGAGCCAGTGAGAGAGTTTGCCTCTGAATGGGGTTTTCTTGTGGTTCTCATTTCTTGGATCCACTTCCTCAGTGAAGCAACAGATTGTTGGCCAATAAGTTCTTCTAGAGATGGTCCAAGGTTGGCGGGGATGTCGGTCATGGCTTGGAAGTCCAAGTGATCTTTTAGAGAAGATTGGTATCTGAATGGCCTCCCTCTTCTCCTTGATCCGGTTGAAGCATTAATTATACCAAATCCTCTAGTTGCAGTCGAGTAAATTTTATACTGGCCTTCCTTGGGAATCATGCCCACATTAATCATTTCAGTTTTTTGCTCTTCCTCGGGAGTCAGGCCCATGCTAAATGAGTCTCGTTTTTGAAATTTTCGAGTGGAACTATTGCTGGACTCAGCTTGCTTCCGCTTTGAGGACTCACTTGACTCGTTCTTGTTGTTCAGTTCTTTGCTTTGCCATTTCCTCGCGTCGGTGGCTGGTGACCATCCGTTAACCTCTACCTCTTCTTGACTAACTCATCCTCCGAGTCTTCCTTTGAACTTTGGTCTCCTCGACAGATTTGTAGTTGTTTGCATGCTCCTGCATTTTTCTAACTTTTTTGCTGGATCGGGAAGTTCAATGGTTTCTTTGGTCTGTGCTCTGCCCGCAACCATTCCCCCGGCTCGTCCAGTTTTCTCTCTTCTAGCTCTAACATGATCTCATTGAGAGGAATGGATTTTGGTATGAGCTTGCATTTCTTCCAGTTATGGCCTACTAATCCGCAGTAGATTCAAAGTTTTGTGAGATTTTCATAGGCAAATCTAACCCATATTGGATTGTTGTTGTTTTTCAGAACAAAACCTCTTGATAATGGCTTCCACAAGTCGATTTCTATGTGGAATCTTACCATGCTTCCCCTTTGTGGGCTTTCCTGGTTCAATCTCAGGATTGTCTTCAAGAACTCTGCCTGCTACTGAAGCAAAAACCTTGCAGTTGTGGTTGGAAATGTAACTTTGTGGGATGTTGAACATCTGCCAGACTTTCTGGTGCCACAGTTTGATCTTCTCCCCTGATGTTCCATCTTGCCAGGATGCAACTAGCATCCAGCTCCCCTTGATGAACTAGGGTCATCCATTTAAAGCCTTCTGAAGTTCTTCTTCTTCTTCAAAGATGAAAACCCACCCACCATTATCATCGTGACTAGCATCAGCGTGGTGTGTAGGGTTCCATGCATGCTTAATAAATGCATGGACGTTCTCCATGGTCACTTTAATACATGGGAAGATTCTTCTCCTTAAAATTTTCTTAACCACCTCAGATGCTTATCGAACCGGCTCCACATTTATTTTTAAGTGGGGACCGACAATTTCAGAGTCATTGGTTTCTCCGGCCATCTTGAAAGGGACGTGTTTCTAAACTTTACAGCAGAAGAGGGCGTAAGGTTTAGTGGAGAAACATATGGGATTGTAAGGTTCAGCACTTGGGGTGCGGGAGGGATTTCAGAGATTTTAGAGAGTTACAGAAATTCAAAGGATTTCAGCACACAGGGTGCGATAATTTTTTGGATGATACGTGAGTTGGGATCTCCTTGACGTCAGTATTAAGGCCATGTATTTAATACTGGCGTAGAATTTTACAGCCAGCTGAACAGCTAAAGCGTTCAGCTAGCCTCCAACCCCAACGCATTCCATATTGGGTTGCATCGTCCATGCTCCACTGCCCACTATACAATTGAGTATTGACCATTTGTTCCCGCTTTCATTCTACGCGAGCTACGTTAGCATCCTGCATCCACCTTACGCTATGTTGTCGGCTGATGCAACAGTAGTAGGTCAGACTTCGAGAATCGTAAAAAAGTCCGAGCTCTGTATAAGAACCACGTGTCACCGCGGTGAAGCAAATGGGCCCACCAACAATCCCAATCCCAACCACCGAATATCAACACGTTGGACATGATCTCTGGTGTACAGTCGGCAGTGCTTGAGCCACGTGTCCTGTGGGCCCAGTCCCTAGACACGCTGTACCGTCTAAAAGCTAAAGTGCTTTACTGCTTTTCCTTAAAGCCGACCCAAGCCGAGTGGGAGCCGTTGAAAGCACGCACCTACTACAAAGGCTACAGCCACCTGACTCCATGGGCCCAACCGTCCAGACCGTCACACACAACTACCTCCATTAGCTGATAGCTCCACTCCATGATCTCCATACTCGGCTTTTACTTCCTCAATGTTTCAGACCACCTAACATCAAAGAAGACTACTCAGACGACTCGGACTCAGACTCTGTCTTTGTCTCTGGTCTCCCGATTTGTTCTCTCTTCTCTGTTACTGCATTTCAAGCTCTCGAAGTTTCACATCCTCTCGAAACAACCAACGCCTCATCGTTTTCGCGGGGAAATCGAAACCGAATTTAACACCGGAACGACAAGGGATCGCTAATTTATGGTAACTCATTTTCCTTAAAAAGTCGTCTCTCTCCTTGTATGTTGTATCTACTACTCTTGACAGTGACTCGCTACCTAGGGTTCATCACCAACTAGTAATCCCTTCTCTTCTTCTTATTCTTCGTTTGTTGCTTTGAATCCTTTGGTCCTTGGTTTTTATAAGATCATTTCGTGGTTATTCGACTTCGATCTTCTGATTGAACTAATTTTATTTTAGTTGTCGCGAGCGATCGCAGTATAGGAGGTTTGGAAATTAGTATCCTAATAGTTTCGGCATTGTCGCATGAGTTAGAGTGAATTTTAGTTGAATATGGTGTTAGATTTCATTATTAATGGAGTGGTTATTAAAATTTAATCTGTTTGTAATTTCGGTCTGCTAATTTTCGATTTACATAAAACTCAGTGGATTTACTAAATACTGGTTCTAATTCGCATCTATTACTGTAAGCGGGTTTTGTTCTGTTCTTCTTGTCTTTTTCCACGTTCACCCTGCCCTCTGGGTTGTTTTCGAAAATTTGTCTGGCGTAGCATCAGAATGGTTCTTGTATCAAAATCTCCTGTAGTAATCCTAGAATTTTATTCATCTTCTTCTGTTTGGATTTGCAGGTTTAGAAGATCCCGAGTTTGGTGAATGCGCTTGCCATCGGAGCTGAGACGTTTGGTTTTGGTTTCGGGAGAAGAGGAATCATGAATCCAGAGCTTTTGGATATTCGCCCCCGTGAACTCAAGTTCACATGTGAGTGCATTAGAACTGGGACTTCATGTATTCTTTCCCCCAATTGCCCTGTTAATTTATTAGGTGATGATTGTAATGGTGTCTCCTCTCTTCCGCAGTAGATGGCTTTTCTATTGCAAGAAAGAAGATAAAGAGCTATTACATGTATCGTTTTCACGGTTATCTTTTTAACAGATAATTGAGCGGATCACCGTTTGCCTTTAACAGAAAGAAGACTAAATCCCATGGTGTCACAACTCGCAACTAAATTAACTTGATCCTTTCTATTATGCTTTTTTGAATTTACCAACTGAAATTCTATGACGGATTTGTTCAACAGTTCAACTATGAGCTAGAATGTTCAAATATCAATTAATATTTAAATCTCTCACTTGACAACAAATACCGAAAATGCTTTTGCTAGAGTAAGGAACAGTAGTGTTTCTCTAATCACATTAAACTTTGTCAACTAGAAAAATCCTGAGATATTCATTAACACTATTTCCACCTTATCACTTCTTTCTAACCTACATGCGGTTGTTTGCAGAAATCAAGTTACATCGAACAGTCAGTACAACTTAGTGTACCTACTGGCAATCACATTTTTCTTCTCTGTTTTTTTTTTCTCTCATTTAGTCCATAGCTCAACTCAACTTAGTACTGTCCCAACCATATGGGGTTGGTCGTAGCTGATTATAAATAACTTAGTTGTCACATTTGGTAGCTGTTGGTCTCAATGATTCCTTCACTTTTAAATTATTTTGCATGATTTAGGCTTTTAGTTGGGACTGATGGTGTTTTGATCCCATGGAATTTTAGAGAGGTGCAACTCAGGCTAATTGAAACCTACTATAATATACATAACATATTGCACGCGATAATTTTTTTTATTTGTATATTACATGATATTGTTGCACAAAAAAAAAAAAAGAAGAAATCATTGCCATTTAAATCAAGGTCAGCAAGTGAATAAATTGGGTTGCTTGAGGTATCAACCCAAAACCAATTCAATTGCTTGGCATTTTTCAATCTTAACACTAACATTTGTTTATTGTTAACCCTAGTCCAACCTTCAATTCATCCAAATTTATCAAAAAGAAAAAAAAAAAAAACTTCAATTCATCCAATTCAACCTAGAAGTTTATTTGGTCATTCCACCTTCCACCTAAAATTGCGCTTTCTCATTTAGATGATATTTGTTTACAGAGTTTGAGTACTATTGATCACTTAGTATTGAGAACAATCATGATTGATTATTTGTGTTTGTGCAAAAAGTATTTGGAGTCTATAGTTCATCTTCATTGTCAATATGTAATGGATATTTGGCCACGTTATCAAATTATTTGGTCATTCCAAATGACACGCCCGTGTGGATTGGGCCTGGTATATGAAGAGTAACAAAAAAGAGGAATTATACCATGCTATCTTGTTCACTTATACCTCCGTTGGGGTATTTGAAAGGGAATGGTTTAAAAACAAACATTATCTAGATGGTCTCTTAATTGAAAGGATGGAAAGACAGTTTATATGGCTGGAGCTATGCTGTTTTACATCTCAACTCGAAACAGCCTTAATCCCAACTATTTGGGGTTGGCTATAGGGATCCTTTACTGCCATTGTACTCTATCAAGAGCCATGTTTCTATCAAATTATAAGCTCTTAAATCATTTTTTTACCACTTTAGATTACATTTTCTTTCATTTTACCCTTGCTCTTTTAAAGCTTTCTACTTGAACCAACTCAATTCTCATTAGTCCAATCATTTGTCCTCCATGCACATGATCGAACCATCTCAGTCCACTCTCTCACAACTTGTCATTATTGGAACTACTCCTAAGTCTTCTATAATATGTTTATTTCTGATTCTGTTGTTCTACTCTTTCCACCCATTATCTCAACATTTTCATCTCAGTTATACCCATTTTTCTTAAATATGTTATTTCTTGATCGCCCAACTCTTTGTCCCATATAGAAATGCTGCTTGTATAATTATCTTATGAAATTTTCTTTCTGAGTCTCATTGGTATAAAGTATAAACTAGTGACATAATACACTAGATGCACCTCCCCAATGCAACACCCAACTCCAATTTTATGGGCAATGTCCTCTAATTTCTCCCTCAGCATGGTTTATTGATCGAAGGGTACCAAAGTAGTTAGTTTGGGGCATCTCCTCAGCATCAATAATTGCAACAACATTGTTACTAATATGTTTACTAAAATTGCAATAGTAAGCAATACATGTATCCTTAGTTTGATAACTTTGACTTATCTTGACCATTTGATGCTAAAGCATCTCTCCATTGTTTTGACTTTGCATTCAACCCATCTTTAGGGTTATCAATCAATATTACCAATCAAAGTTCAATCCAATCGCACATTTGCACCATAGATCCATTAATATCAGAATGTCCACAATCTATATAGCATTTGTACATCGTACCTTTTGTAGCATAATGAAAATTTTATGAACATGATATTTCTTCTTCCTATTTGTTCCATGTTGGACAATGTTATTTATCCTTCTTACAACTTTTAGTCCATGGTTGTTTGTCATATTGTTCTGCAACAATGGTAGTAATCCCATCTAGATGTTTGCACAATATGCTTTTTTTTTTCATCTTTGTCCTTATTTCACCATTTCTTTCATTGAGTAAATTGCAAGATCAATGATCTCGAGATAGTAACCTTTTTTATCATTTCATTGCCAGTTGAGTTGAAGAAGCAAAGTTCATGCTCGGTACAACTCGTCAACAACTCAGATCAATGTGTAGCTTTCAAGGTGCAAACTTTTTTCATGGATATCATGCTCACATCACTTAGTGCTGCCATTTTCTCTTCCAAGTTTCTATACTAACGAGCACACTGTTTTGTTAGCCTAATTATCTGTTTAAAATTTAGTTTTCATCACTGGCTTAACTTTCTCCCATCTTTCTGTAGTTTCCTTTTCTTTTCATTGATAAGGAAGAATTTGTTGAAAATAACTTGTGACAGGGGTTGAGTTGCCTCCATATTTCTTTTGCATTTTCCTTGTTGGAACAAGCACAGTTTTAAAAATGCATATTTGAGATCTTTGATTTTGAAAGATCTCAATGTTTGTTCAGATCTTACTCCTATTATATATCTTTGACATTTCTGATACATAATGCTACCATTATATGCAATGGTTGTTCCTGAAGGGGATTGATGGCTTTGCAGGTAAAAACTACAGCTCCAAAGAAGTATTGTGTGCGGCCAAATACTGGCATTATTCAGCCGAAATCGACTAGTGACTTTACAGGTTTATCCCTTCTCATTTCTATAATTTAATATGGTCTAATAACTGAACTTAGGGGGTCACTTTGTGACTTTTGATTTGACAGGCTTATTTTGTCTTCGTGCTTTATTATGGCCCAAGAACTTAGAAAGTCAATTCAATGAGATGCATGTGCAACATAAATCCACTTTTGCATTGCACTGTAAAACTTATACCAATTGGTTCATTATTCCTTTAAGAATAAGACTCTAAGTGCAACTACATGTTTTTCTGCCCCAATTTCATCCATAAGTTGGGATGGAAAATAATTGGAAGGTGATAGGGGCAACTGGTTAAGGTATGAGAACAACAAGCGATGTATGAAAGCCTGAAAGGGAATGATATGCTTTGATATCACCATCCATAGCACATGATGTTTTTAGTGTGGTATTATGAACTGGAAGGTTTATTGCATGAGAAGGTGTACAACATTATGACTATTCAATCCAATCTTTTGAAGGAAAACTGCAAGGGCATCAAGCATTTGCCATGCAAAAAAAGCCATATTCAGCACCAATCTAGGTAGGCCATTTTGATCTTGCATTGATCATTGATGTCCTAAGGAGGATAAGTGCTCCCGGTATCACTTGATTTAGGATTGGAGTGACCAGGGATGTGTCTAGGAGGGTAATGATGGGTTATGAAAGGTCTTGGGGCTTAATTGGAGAATTTCATCTGTCCATGGTGAACAAACTTTGAAACAAGGAAAATTGGTCTAAGGAAACTTTCAAATATGTAGATTTTGAATGGATAGTTGTAGAGGGTGGCCAAATTTGGTAGGCTTAAAAGTACATATTGAATAGAAGGACATAAATGTTATACATTTAGGGTTCTTGATGGTTTTTTTGGATGAAATTTGGTAAAACGAAAGACTATGGAGATTATGTGGAGTGTCTAAACATGATGAGAATCAAAGAGGGTCTGGACATAAGGTGATGCAGGAGTTGAAGACTCAAAATTGGATTTTTTTTTTTGAAATTTTATGTATTTCTGTATTTTTGGACACCGGGGACAATTTTGCCATTTTACATTTTTTTGTAGGGTCCAATAATAGGGTTTGATTGTCTATTCATAGTTTGTTTATGTTTAAAATTTCAGAGTCATTGCATAAGTAGGATTAGAGTTATTGAGTCTTCTTTGAATTGAAATAGGATATGACAACTTAGTTTGAGTCCTATTAGAATATTCAGTTTAACAGTTTGACTCCTAGGACTATAATGAGTCTAGCAGTTTGACTCCTAGGGTTATTATGAGTTTAGAGTCTATAAATATGTATGGACGTTTTACACAAAGAGCAATGAAGTTTATTGAGTTTTCTTCAGCTTATGATAATTATGGTGAGTGGTTCCCATACCCTAGAGTGGTTCTAGGCACCCCGTGAGTGATTTCAGGTATCCTCTCTCTTCTTTCTCTCCCTATTTTCTTTCTTATTCCTTCAAGAAGCCATTACAGCCACCAACAGCCATAAAATTCTGATCAAAGAAGACCATTCAACATTCTCTAAGGACTAGAATTGAGCTGTCCTACATCATAAGGATGGAAAGTGTTGATCTAGGAAATTTTGAGTTTTGATGGGGGAAAAAAACCCTCATGTGGATCAGTTTCAGTCCTCTGGAAATGTTGAATTTACACCCTTTTATGAATAACTTACGACTATTGATGGTTGAATTAGCTACTTGCAAGATTAAAGAAAAGATGGAGAGAGAAAGGAGACAAAACCTAGAATCACTCAAAGTGCTGAGACCTTGGAAATTTTGGGGACTCAAAGTGCCAGAAACAAGTTTGCATCAGTGATCAGACATTGGTGGGGACAATGGCTCAGACCCTGCTGCCATTGAACGTGTACATACTTTGTGAACTTTCGTGGGTGTCTCTTTCCTGGGCAGTGAAGAAATTGCTCATGAGTTGTTGAAAAGACAAGGTATCAAGAGATCAAGAGGCCCACCTTAATGTCAATTCAGTTCAACTGAGCAAGGTGCTTGACTCTGAGTTTGACTGGTCTCTAGACAGCCTAGGCTACCTCCCAGGTAGTAGGAAGGAAGGTGAAAAGATTGTCGGAGTTCTACAATGTTGTGGTATCCAAGCCATGAAGTAAAGGTTGTGGCAGTACTCAGGGAAGGGGAAGAGGGGGTAGGGGTAGGAAAGTGTATTAAATCCCTTTCGGATTTAATTCAAAGTGAACTCAATAACTCCTAAGCTAGCATAAGCTATAAGAACTGAAATAAACTTAATTTATGCATCTGCAGGACGTATATTACATATTTATGGATTGAAAGCCAATAAAAATCCTAATAGAGCTCAAAAATCAAAATTGAAAATGACAGAATTGCCACTTCAAAGTCAACTCAATAAATGATTGAAACTTTAGGCACAAATAAACTATAACTAGACAAACTAAATTACTAGGCTGGACCCGCATGTTAAATGACCAAAATACCTTTCTATATAACATATGAAAATACATTAAAAATTTCAGAATATCCCATATATAATCACTCTGTCCCCTGTTTTATATCCATAGAAATGAACTAGTGATATCAAAGTTCTTTTTCTTTTTCTCTTTTTATATTTCTGAAAAATTATTCATTGTTATTGAATAGTTGGTCACTTTCCAATTGCATTCAGTTACTTATGGTTGGGCTTCAGAGGTGTTTAATGTGAAAGAACAGATTGTACTGTTTTAATTAAGAGAAAAGTGATGACTCATTAATGTGACAGGGGTTATAATGGAATCATGATTACTACATCACCACTGGGGTAGCACTCAGATAACATTCCTAAATAAATAAATGATGGAAAGCTTTAGATGATACAACCCATAGCACTACATTCATTGTTCTTATTTAAATCTGTTAGATATGCTGGAATTTGCTGTCTCAGTCTGCCAGTTGTGAACAAAATCTGTAAAGCCAAGTTAGAGGTTATACAACTTAGAAAACCAGAAAATAGTGGTTTTTATGTGTTGCCTCTATTCTATTATGTGCCATATCTACCTATTCAATATTTGATTTCTCACAATTATTTAATGTCATTGTAGTTACTATGCAAGCTCAACGTGAAGCACCACCTGATCTGCAGTGCAAAGATAAGTTCCTAATTCAAAGCACAACAGTTCCTCTTGGGACTACTGCAGAGGACATTGTACCTAACATGGTAAGTGTTGCCTGTGGTTTAAACTGACTTTAGGTTGTTTCTCAAGGTTACTAATTGGTTTCTTTGCAGTTCACAAAAGATAATGGAAAATACATTGAAGAGAACAAGTTGAAAGTTGTCCTGGTTAGCCCACCCTATTCTCCTGTTGCCTTGGTTAGCCCACCCCATTCTCCTGTGCTGCTACCAATAAATGGGACTTTGAAACAGGAGCCTGACCATGAACCTTCAACTTTAAAAGATGAAGTACTGAATGGAGATGAAAACATCCCCCCAGGTCGTATGGTATGTGAAATACTTACTTTTTTTTTTTAGTTTGGTTTATCATACCTTCTATTCTCCACCCTCATTCTCATGTACTACAATCAATTAATGTGGCTCTTAAGCAGGATCCTGACCGTGAAGCAACTTTAAAAGATCAAGTATCAAATGGAGTTGAAAATCTTTATCCACCTCATGTGGTAAATTAATCTCCCTCCCTCCCTCCCTGGTCGTAGTTTTTCTTCTTAATTTTATGGAAAGAGATCAGGGGGGCATAATTCATGGAAATGCAATAAAATTTTTGTGTTAAGTCCCACTTTCATTGTCATGGTTTACTTGATTTGTCCTGTGTTTATTCAGAACTATCCTTTTTTTGAAGGAAACATGTGGTATGAGTCAATATGCATTGCATTCTTATTTACAGAGTTTAAGATGATGACTGCAGACTTACACTGCAAAAACTCTCATACAACAGCTAACTTTTATTTTTTGTCATGTACTTTAGGCCATGGAGGAAGCTAAGCCTACAAAAGATGTAGATCAGAAACCAGCTAAGAATGTGGAAGAGATGAAACTTGTTGCAGAAATTAGGGATTTGGCTAGGGCTATTTTTGATTTGAACTCAAAGATAGAGGAAAAGGAATCAAAACTAAGGGAGGTTAGTTGGTTTTTCAACTTCCAATTTCCCAATTCTAACAGAATGCAGGGGGCTTTCTTCAATGTTCTGTTAAGTATGCGAGGAGCAAAAAACTCCATTTCTGTCCTGAGGTTGTTTTTTTTTTTTTTTGGTAAATGAGTTTAAATTTATTAAATCTGAAGGTATAAGAATTACAAGTGTCCCTTAGAGAGGCACAAGCTGCTACCTCTCTGTAAACAAAACAGAAAAAATTACAAGTAAGCCCAAAACAAAGACTGTCTATTTCATCCCTTGCTTGACCAAAGCATCCTCTAACCCATTAGCCAATCTCCTCACCCATTGTATCCTCAAGTTCATATTCTTAGTGATCCATAAATTTTTTTTATCTCACCCCTGTAGCACCATATTACAGATTCTGGATTCTTAAACCAACCCACCACCAATTTTGAGTCTCCTTCAATCACCAAATTGGTTAATATTCAATTCATTAGCAATTTGTGCTCCTTGTAGGGCCACAAGCAATTCTGCCTTGAGAGAGTCCCCAATCCCAACTGGACCAAAAAACAAGGCTATCAGTTTGCCCTCAAAGTCTCTCACAACCCCTCCTATTACCCGCAGGTCCTGGATTCCCTCTGCTACTCCCATCAAAATTCAATTTCACATAGTCTTCAGGTGGAGGTAGCCTGCCATACAGCATTTATTCTTTCCTTTCTTGAAGAACTTCTGGCAACTCCTTCCCAGTTTCTCCATATATCATCAGGAGAAATTGAGAAAACAGGTCCAAAGATTTGATCTAATGGATCACCCTACAAATCACACAATCCTTTATCTCTTCCTTGCTTCTTTCCTTCTCAGAGAAAATTCCCGCATTCCTCTCTTCCCAAATGGTCCAAGCCAAGGCTGCTCTAACACACCTCCACATTATCCTCCCTCTCTTTTTGGCCAAGTAAACATAGAAGGATCAAACAGCAGATTAGCCTCCGCTGATAAAGACCACCTGCAGGTCCTGCACCCAAACAAGGAGAAGAACCAATTCTAGATATCTGCAACAAAGGAGCAGGAAATCAGTAAGTGAGAGCAACTCTCATTTCTGAGCCTGTTATAAATGGAGATATGTTTTGTTGGAAGAATGGAACTTTGCTAAAATATTATGGACACAAGTAGCTAGCATTTCATTTCTCCCATTGACTTCCTACTCCTTTTTTTTTTTTTAAGAAAGATAATTTGTATTATAAACAAAAAGGAGGATGTACAACAAGAAAGCAAGAGACAGTAACAGTTAAGGCATTAAACTTGCACTAAAAAAATTCCCAATCCAGATTTTGCTAACCCATCAGCCACATGATTTAGGTTTCTTGCTATCCACCTAAGGCTACAGCTAAAAATAGATGAAATATCATGGATTTCATGCAAAAAGTGAGACAATCTCCAAGGCCCAGAGGCTTTCTCTGCATTTAAGTTTATGAACGTTGAGAAAAAAACAAGTGTCATGGTAGAGTCCCAAATCTGCATGGATGAACCCAAAATTCTTGCCTGTTCAAACTGCATTCTATGTTTTTGCTTTAGTTGGCAGAGAATGTGCTGGCGTTGTTTTATTTTATTACTTATTAGTAAAAATTAAGGATGGTATACCTACATTTAAAAGTCGTATGGTTAACAGTAATGAAGATGAAACTCGTTTGTAGGCCGAAATTACTATTGCAAAGCTAAAAGAAGAGAGGAGAAGGATCACTCGAGAGAAGGAAGCATTACAGCAAGAACTAGTGAGTGATTTTTTACAATTGGATCTTTTTTTTTAATTTACATATCTCTACTATTTTTCCAAGGTCATAACTTCAGTTGTAATACCTGTAACGCTTTATATTTACTGCTACTGTTTGGTCACACTCAGAAACAATTATGGTAAGTTGGGTAAACATGGATAGCCGCAAGAACCAGGAGTTAAAGGTCAAGACTTTGGAGAAAAATCCAAAACACTTGATTGTTAATATGCTTGGATTATTTTATTGATTTTGACCAGGATCAATGAACTGGTGGGTTCTATGTACTGTATGGGGTTCTTGAAGTGCTCTAGAGTTTCTTTAGTTATATTATTTCTTGTGTCAACCCCTAAATATTCCAGTTATACTTCCATTCAATCCACAAGTGGCTGCAATTGTTATTCTACCACTTAATGTGATCTTTCTTTTGTTCTTTTGTTTTTGTAAATAGCTCATCATTTGTTGGATCTTGCCCCTAGTTCAGGGGATTCTAAAGAACTTTTCCAGTTATATTTCCTTGCTCTAAAGAGGTTTGGGGATTCTAAATGCTTCCTAATTAGGTTTCTGCTTGTGATGTCTGTTCTTCTTTCTTTGCAGGCAATAACAAAAAGGCAGAGTGGTGTTAGAAAAGTTCAGGTCGGATTCCCCTTTCTGTTTGTTGTTATGGTTGCGCTTCTTGGTGTAGCACTCGGATTATGGTTACGCTCTTAAAGACAAGGGAGACTCCGAAAGACATAACTAGGGATGATCTGCAGTCTGTAATTAGTTAGAGGTATAGAACAAACAGCCCTGTTCTCCTATAAGGTCAAATGCGGTTAGGAGGGGAGGAATGGGGACCTTATTACCTGTTTATTATGGCTGTCTACCACAAATAGTGTTGATATGGTGTGCTTGTAAAAGAGGGGAAAAGAAAAGAAAGATATTGCAGTTGAAGTAACCTACGTTTTTTGAATAAGAAGAAATGAAGTATGCTCTTTGGTGACAACCAGCCCACTACATTCCATCTTATTATGCCCCAAATATCCTGTTACAAATAGATGTTGCCCTCCAAAAAAGATCATTAACTTTTGACTTGGTTCTTTTGATGGTTTCTTGAATTCAAAATCTCTTCTATTATCCTGTTCAAGCGGACTTCAAGATAGCTGACTATTCCCTCCAAAATAGAAAAAAGAGATTGCCTGCCTAATAAACAAAGGATTCATCCATATGGAAGAGTTGTTTTGCAATTCCATGCTCGGGGATTACACCCAGAAATGACCTGTTTGAACAAGCTTATGTACAGTTGCTGCGCAGAGGACTCTCCTTTGATCATTTTGCCTTGTATCCTCGAGGTCTGCTCTGCTGTTTCTGTAAAAGTCTTGGATCCCAAATCCTGGACAGCCTGGTGAAGAACATCAGTGACTCCAATTATCTTTATGCTGAATTTAACTTTTGACTTGTACTTTTAAACTTCATCAGAACTGGGGTTCAAAATTTCGACACAATACGTATCGTATCGGCAAGTCACAGACACTGTAAATAAATACAAGGGGTTTGGGATTTTGAGCGTTTTCAGGGATAGGCAGGCATAAGACCAATCCACTGACCAATTTGAAAAAAAAAAGAAAAAAAAATGATGTTTTGTGGTATTAAAACACTAGATATGTCTGTTCGTGCGTATGGGTGTATTGATACTTTAATCTTGATTCAAAACTGACCCGTTGTGGGAGCAAAATTGACTAACCCAATTCCAGTTCTTTGAATATTTGGTCTCTTGAGTTTCTATCATCTAAACTGGGATAGTGCCCAATGCTACTATTTTGTAACCGTGCTAAATTGCATATATTTAGCAATGTTCCACGGCTTGAGCGCAGGTAATGCCGGAATGTTAGACGATACTTATAAAAGCATAATGAATAGTCCCCAGTTAAAAGAAAGAAAAAGCAGTAACAGCAGAACTTAACAGAAAGAACTCCTGAAACTAAATCTAATTTAGGGTCCGACTAAAAAGAAAAGCTTTTCCTCCTGCAAACCCACTACGGCTCCAACCAGATGGGGGTGTGCTGCAACCCAAACTCCTTACACTGATACAGTCTATCTTCCATTGGGCTGAGTACCCAGCAACAAGCACTTTGTTCTCTATCCCCTCCCACGAAACCGAGTCAAAAGAACCGAAGGGACCCAGAAACACAGTAGCCTCCCTCAACTCTTCCTCCGGCTTCTACTCCACGCTCAATCTTATGAAGCCCTAGAAGATAGCCAGACGGATCTTTCAGCCCGATGAGAATTTTTCCTTGAAACTCCACCAAGTAGGAATGCCTGAACCCGGGGTGTTTATACATGTAGATGGCACTCCATGAATCCTCCCTGACATTGTAGGCACCGAGTCTTCCGATTGCATCCATGCAGTATAAGAACCCAGACCCATAAATCGCTTGTGTGACTGTGTCGAACTTCTCAGTGTAGTAGGCGCCTTTGGTCCAGTCCACTTCTCAGTGGAAAAGTTTCTCGACGGCGAAAACCATGCAGTCGGCAGAGGTTGGAGGAGCAGAGAAGGCGGCAGCGTCGAAGGGACATCTGCGATAAGGAAGCCCGAATCTCGATCCTTAGCTGAGAGAAGGGATTGAAGAAGAAAAGTGAACATGTTTCCCTTGACAAATGACAAAAGCAGCAGCTAACCGTGACCTGAGGAGAGACACTGCACCGGGAAGTCCAGCTCCGGAGTCTCGATGTGCTCGAGCTTTTCTTTTACAGAGTCGAAGAAGGCGAGGCTGGTTTCTCCGGAGTCTCGATGGTCCATTCCTGCTGGGTTTGGTTTTCATGCCAGTTTTCTTTTGAGTCAGAGATTCATAAAGAAGACCCATGTCGCCTTGAGAATGGGAGAGAAACGATAAAGTCAGAAATAGAAGTCGGTTTAATGGGAGTTCGTTATTGACAAAAGAGAAGAGAATTTAATTAGAGTTACGGTTTTAGAAGTTTAAAGCTACGCCAACGGACGTAGCATATATTTCTCCAAAAATCATGGCCTCGTGGCTTCACCATGACGTCACTTCATCAAATTTTAGAGCTCGCATTCTGTAACAAGGATGAATTCGGTTGAACCCGACAAAAATTTTAACTATTTGGGAATTCATGAATCATTCGAACTCCCTCCCATTTTCTCCTGAGCAGACCACCGGCTATTTCACTGTACAAACGACGTCCGACGGCGTGGAGTCCACCGGCAGCAAGAAATCAACCGATGGTAAGCACCTTTCTTCGAATCCTCCTCTCATTCTTCACACTACAACGCTTGATCTAAACTATATCTCTTTGATTAAAACATAATTTTCTTCTGGTCGTTCAACAGAGATCCAATGTCAACGGACATTGACCTGTAGAAATCATAAATACAAGGGTGAATGAAATCAATCGGGGTTGTTGGGAAGTCAGGAAATACATATAGACAGGTTGCAGGGACACATGCCCATTACATCTCCTGCTCATTGGAGTAGGGGTGAATAAAGGCGGAATTCATCTGCCAAATCTTGAGTGAGGCAGTGACGCTGGCCCTGTAGCATTGTTGATCAACAAGAACACACTCGGGCTGCTTCATATATTGTCTCTGTTGGATAATCCTTTGATGTGATAACTGTCCTCCCACCTTGAGCAAAAAGCTCCGAATGATCAACCTGGGACGGTCACATATTTGAAATCAACTGTGATCATAAAATCAAGTATATAAATCCAGCAGCACATAACTTAAAATTAACGCAACAGCTCATTATAATTAAAGAAAACCTCATAGATCATCCAAGAGGGTTTCGAAGTTTGTTTATAAGTTCAGCATAAAGAACCTGTTATCTAGAAGCCTATAAATAAATGTTTACCGTTCTGTACTAAAAGCCAAGCATCAACTTACCATGAGTCTCTGTCAAGTACAGGAAGTAATTAAGATCCCGTAGACATGTTTTCTAACATAATTGGCCAAAGAAGACCTGCATCAAAGACAGTTGTTTTCTAGTTTAGTTCGTGCCTTATTGTAGGTGATATAAAATTAAACTAACTAATACTTCAATGTCACTCAAGTATGCACATTTAACTAATACTTCAATGTCACCCAAGCCATTCTTACCTGTGGTCGAGATGGAAAACCATTTTATTAGTGGAGCCGGTGCAAAGAACGACAATGGAGCTGTTGAGAAATGGCATCACAAACTTTGGAGGAAAAGCTCTGAGTCATATCTAAAAGAGTCCAGATCTGTGCCTCACATAAAGCGCCTCACACCAACCTCACAGTATGTTCTGGCTGTACATTGGAACCATCTTTCATACTTGAATTTATTATTCATGGAGAGCTCAATTACACTTGTCTTTAGAATGTAATTTGCCCCACTCAGTTTCACTCAATTTTTTGAACCATCGTTGACCCGAACGGTTGGACCGTTCAGCCCAAGATCCATCCAGGCAACCGGCTCTATTTTACCCGAAACTAGGTCTGGCCCTTGGCCAAAAACCGTTGAATTGGTCAATGGGTTCATTGACCAAGGTGGTCAAACCATCGACCCATTCAATGGTTTTTGAGCTTTTTTATTTTAATTATTTAATGGGCCATCTATTCGAACTGGATGGTTGAACTGTCAACCTGGAAACCAGTAGCCAGAACGGTTCAAATTCCGGATCGGTTTTTAAAACATTGATGCACACTACCTACCAAAGTCAGGCTTCAAAAGGCAATCCACAACTGATCACTGGTTTCTATTTTGGCTAAAAAGCCAAACTTGTCTGGTTTACCTCTGACTTGTATTTCAGACGTAATAGCCAGCTTCATCGATCAACCTTTAAATGGATTGCACATTGGCTAAACCATTCCCCACAGACTAGAGAATCCACTGCCATCACTGTCAAAATTTTCAGTATACTCTAGCATCTATGCACAGCACGGAATTCTCTTCCTTTTAACAAACAAAACTGGAGTCTTAATTACATTTTACAGTGATCATACCACTTTGCATACCAATACCTGAGAGGCATCTCTTTCTGATGACTTTCCTAATTCAATGCTTCAGTCCACTCCTCCTCCACCCCCTGTGGCATTGGGTAAGATCTCCACATGGCTTTCTGAAGATAAATTTTGATGGCGCCACATCTCTTACCAGATCTGAAACTGACTGTCTTATCAGTGATGAACGAGTGCTTTTGTCCATGCTTGTGCAGTTCCCCTCACTTCCAAACCTGCATTAATTAGTTACTGAAGCCATGACTCTCCTCGAGTCACTTCCATTTGCTCAATCTTTAGGCATTTCTGCAGCTATTTTAGAAGCGAACGCTCAGACGTTGATTAATCTCTTCTTGGAGGATTCCTTGACACCTCCATGGAGTATACAGATGCTTCTACAAAGTTGCAAGAGTATCTTATCTCACCTTCTAGACCTTTCAGTTTTTTTAGGCTCAGTTTGGAAGGAGTACTAATACAAATATGTAGAGTACAAAATCTTATATTTTGTATTATTTTTTATGTATTTGCACTGTACATATTTGTATTTGTACTCTTTGCAATGGAGCCTTATGTTCCGCCCACCTGTAATCATGCTGCTTATAGAGTGGCTAAATTTGCACTTTCATGTACTCTTATTCACACTTGGTCCACTGAATAGGAGTTTTTAGCTCCATCTATACTAACTGAAAGGGATTGTAGAATGGATTTGCCTTCGGGATTTTTCAAAAAGAAAAAAAAAAAAAGATCTTAAACTTTTAACAAAATCAAGGTCCAATGTATTGATAATTTGATATTGCACGAGCATTTGAAAGGAAAGAGACGTGTTGGGACAAGATGTTAAAAGGTAAAGGTATAGTTGAGACGTAATGGCCCCAAAAAGATTAGGTATAAGCCTTAGAATTTAAGAAAATAATTAAAGATTATAAATTAATAAAAATAATATATAATATACCGAATTAAAATGATAGAATGTACATATCCATAAAATAGAACTTTATATATAATATGTTTCGATGTTTAAGAATTAAATAAAATAATAATTAATCAACTAACAATTATAAACATTGTACATTTCATATTTCAAAATACAAAGTTCTCAAATTATTTCAATGACTAATTTAGAAGAAAGTAAACATATGAAGAATCATCCATATAATATGACATTAGATTTACAGTCATCGAATAGTTTAGAAGAAAGGAAAGAACTTGGTTGATTTGATCTATGCAAAAAAATAATAAAAAAAGACCCATTAGGAAAAATGAAAAAAAAATAACAAGCATTGGACATTAGAATTAAAATAATATGACAAATTTTCACTTGATTTATTGATAAAAACTAAGAACTTGATTGACCCTTTTGCATTAAACTTTTCTAAAACATTAAAATAAACTAATAACTTTTAATTTGCACTATTGGTTTTACTACTATATTTATTTGGCCCATAATTATTGAAGTGTTTCTTTCATATATTTTGAAATTTAAAAATGTTATATATGCCTCACACCTCAAGGCTTAAGCTTTTTTAAACGATGTGTTAAGATGCACTTGAAAATACATTAATACAGTGGACAAAATTAAAATAAGCATGAAACACAAACTCACATAAAACCTAAAAATGCATCAAAAGTGCAAAGAACTATAAGGTATAAACACATATTTTAACAGCTTTTGAGGTGTGCATTAGCAGGATACACTTGAGAAACATTTGGAAATGGTAGAAGAATTAAAAAGATCGTGTATGGGTGCCTTGAAAATTTAAACTTAAATCACATGTTATTAACAAGTTGGCCCATGATATTAGTGGGTAGACTTAGTGCCTTTCATGTGAGCAATCCAGAGATTCAATCTCTGGCAATAGCATATATATACAGACAGAACCATAAAAAGAAGAGAAGATTGCATAATACCAAAAAGGGTACAAATGATAGGGTACACCACTCATCTTGCAAATATATATATATATATATATATATATATATATATATATATATATATATATATATATAATGATAGATCAGATTGAAACGCAACTAGAATGTAGCAAGTGACCCTCTTATACACACACTCGGATCCATGATGCTACAAAAATGCATCATGATTTTGACAGTAGGTAAAAATCACAAGGCAGCAAATTTCCTTCTTTACATTCAGAAAAACCAAAAGCCCATTAATCATCTTATGCTGTACGTCGAAAGCACAAGCAATAAATTATATCCTTGGTTTTCTCTCAGTGTGGTTGATGAACACTCTGTTCAGTGGGTGAACCAGGAACAAAGGGTACAAATCCCCGGCCACCAAAAACAGGACGCATGAATGAATCATCAAATTTACGCCAGTAAGAGTGAACAGTATGAGTTGGAGATGTTAGCAGCATGCGCAGGCTGCTTGGGGGAGTGGCACCCTGGTGAACCATGTCAGCTTCTGAATCATGACCATTCTCAAGGAGTGGTAAGATGAAAGATTTCGGACTAGATGCGTCTGATGACACCATACTGCTCGAGTGTTTGGTTGCAGGCAGCAAAAGCCTTATAAGAGGTTTAGTCAACAATCCAAACACCTGGAGGAAAGAAAAAAGCTTTATTAACCAACAACAAAAAGGCAAGAAACTCAAGAATTCCTTCCCTCTTCATCCCCCCACCCCCCACCCACCTCCCAATCTCTATTTTCTCTCACTCGCTACTCCAAATTTTTAATTGGGTCAACTTATATATCTAACTTTAATTCATTAACCAACCCAGTTGTGATAAGTGGCACCATGAAATATTGAAAAAATGATTTCACAAATATTTACAAAGGTTTAAATATTTAAATGGACCAAATGGGCAAGTGGTGGGATTAATTTGGGTTCATTATGCACGTTAGAAATATAGGTTGTTGACAGGTTGATCTTCAACAAGCATCCAACCCGACCCCAACCCATGCATCCATTTTGCCACCCCTTCTTGCATGATGTAGGATTCTTCTGGTTCTCTTTCTCCTTCCAAATTTAGGTTATATTTGTTTTGTTAGAAAAAAAAAGATGTGGGAAGTAAAAGAGTTCTGATTGGAAACTTTGCAACATAAAATATTGTGGTCTAACTATTTTTCTGCGGTTTGTTTACTGTACAACAGTTGGGAAAACACTTCCTGGTATTTATTTGATCCAAGAAATTTTATGTACTGCAGTTATTTTTTGTTCATCATCAAAGCAAACACGACAAAACCCAAGCAGAGCACCACAAGGTAGCTAACTCAGTAGACATGCTTCTAACAAACTAATATGCCTTCACTTTGCTCGTTATCCTTCATTTTGTAGCCCACCAAACAAGGGAAAACCTCATTCTGAAAGGAGGGTGTGTGTGTATGTGTGCGTGTGTGTGTTGTATGTGTGCAGTTTCAAGATTGAGAGATAGTGAGTTCTGTTGCTTGTGACCTCAGAAGAGATGCAAGGGTTTTATCTAAAGTGCAACTCTGCCATGAGCAAGAAGATTTGGACTTCTCTCAAGGGGAATGGTCAAAACCATGACATTGTTTTACCTTTGAAAATCATGATTTGCAACCTAGAAACAACAGAAGAATAATGGTTTTACCTCAAGAGGCTGTTTCTGCTTTTATGATGAAGCAAATGGACCACTATCAGAAAAAGGAAATAGATGATGGAAAGATGACCCAGTACTATAATACGTCTCCTCTCATCTCCCATCCATGATTATATAATTATAAGCATCTTATGTCAAATTATGAATTAAAAACTATCTTTTACACCACAAATATCTAATGATGATAGTAAGAAGAAACTTCTTATAATTTTGAGTTTTTTGAAAGTAGTTGTTTATCCCCTCAAGTTAGTTACAAACCTATTTAAATAATTAAATAGCCACTTTAGACTATTTCTACCATTATCTATAAGAAATTAGATGAATTGGGAAGACATGTAAATTGAAGATCATAGTACTATTGCAAATTCATATTAAAGGAAGGTCAAACATTAAATATTGCTCAAGAATAAATGCCCAAAGTCCACTCCATGTAGGATGTTGCTATAGAGGAATAAGGCATCTTACCACTGTACTGAAAAGAACAACAGTAATTGTACTGGTGATCATGATTGCATTCCCACGAAGTTGAGTATGTCCTGACCTTGTAAACTACATAGGGATGAAAACAACAAAAAATCATTAGATAAATACATCTATGTAGTTGATGCAAATAAGCTATCAAAAAATAAATTCATGTAGTTTTCTTTGCCCTACACCTACAAACAAGGCAGGATCCATAAAAGACATGTTCAACTTTTCTTTGTAATATCTTTTATGGGTCCCAACATGTTTATAGGGCAAAGAATACAGAAGGTTGTATAAACTTGTTACCAGCAATCACATCATTTATTCGCATATGCCTTGAATGCTATAAGAGCAAGAAAAAAGAGCATTTACTCCTAAGAAATTGCCTTGAGGCTACAATATGGACATAAAGGCCATGCATGATGTTTCCCTTGAGAGCATTAATGCCCTTGCATTAAAAGCTTAAACTATTAGGTCTCAAAGTTTTCTTAATTGAAATTCAATTAAGTTTTCTGTTATCCATATATATAAAAAAAAAAAAAAAAAAAAAAAAAACAGGATGGTCCATATCAGAATGTCTCTCCTTTGAGCGAAGCTATTTATTTATTTTCTCCATTTTTTGCATTTTCCCATTTTCTTTTGTTTTAAAATTATAAAAAAGTAATGATGGTCTATTTTGATTAGATCAATAAAGTTGTGCACTATTAGAGAGAGAGAGAGGCATAGTAATAAAACATAATAAAGTCAAATATTAATAAGACAAGTAATATAAATAAGTTGAGGTTAAACAATCAAACATAAAACAACAAAAATAAAAATATTATTTTAAAAATCCACTAACTTCCACTTAAAGCTAATAAATATTAACAAAACTTAGTAAAAATTAAAAACATTTCAGTTCCGCTTAAAAATCAAACTTAATAAACAATAATAAAAATAAGAAATTTAAATATAAAAATATTAATTGATAGTTTTAATAATATTATGATTTAAACATGGGTTTGATATATTGCAAATAGAACTCGTGTTCTAATGTTGTCTTTTATTTTGTTTCTTCTTTTTATTTTATGAGTTGAGACCTTTATTGTCCATAGTGCCCATACTACACAAGAGACTTATATAAAATAAAGGGCCACTTAAAAATGATATAAAAATAAAAAATTGATGCAATTTTAAAATGTAGAACCCATTTTCGAAATCGGTTTCAATTCGTCTAGAAACCCGTTTCTAATGTGTGATAATAATAATAATAATAGGAGAGTTAAAAGTTACGAAATTAATAAAAATTAGTACATAAATTAAAAAACTAAAATATAATTTAATTCTATTTAAATAATAATTAATATTAATAGGATAGTTAAAATTAATAATAAAAAGTAAAAAATATAAAAAATTATAAAATAAACCATTTGCATTCCACATAAAAATTATAAAAATTAATTAAAATAATGTCATAAGAACTCCTACTTAGGGATGACCATTTATAACTTGGCCCAACCTTGGGCTCAAGCAAATATTTCCTTCTAAGCTAGGTCTAGCTCAGATCTAAACCAAGCCAACACATAATGCAGGCAGTACAGGGTTATTAAATTAATAAAAAATTACTGAATTTAATAAAAAATATTAAATTTTAGCAGCTTTTATCTAGCAACTATTAAAAATTAAGAAATTAATAAAAATTAGTATTGATAGGATAATTAAAATTAATAATAAAAAGTAACAATTCGTTTATAACTTCGCCTAATCCAATTAGATATATAAATTTACATGCTCAAGCAACTATTTTCTTTTGAATTTGGTCTAGCTCAAATATGCACCAAGCCCACACATAATGTGGGTAGTAGGGCTATAAACGGATCAGATTCAAATCAAATCCAACTACATTCGTACCGGCATCTGATTATGAAATGTTTAGATCTTCATTCACATCTAGTCATTATTATGTTGGATTTTGAATTTTAAAGTATAAATGCATATATGTATAATTACACATAATATCTAATTGGATGGGGTTAAATCCACATCTAATCAAATTATTAACCAGATTCAAGTTCTAGCATCCAAATCTATTATAATCGGATTCAAAGTCTAATTGGGTATCAAACTTTCGGAGTCCAATTATGGCCCTAGTGGATAGGGCCCCAAGCTAAGCAACCCCTAATAAGCTCAACTTGGAAGTTATATGAATATATGGTAAATATACGGACAAGCCTGTAGGCCCAGACAAATATTATTACACTTAAGGAGTGGGCTAGACTAGGCTAGGCAACCTTAACAACTGCTAATACACTATCAAAATTTTCATTGGGCTACACAATGGGGGTAGTGGGTAGCCCATCCTTCATAGCTCCTTTGGCTTCAATATATTATCTAAAAATAGTTAAAAAAAACCAGAAATAATACATGCATGAGTTGCACTCGGTTTGGTTCAGTCCAATTACGAATGTTATGATGCGTGCAACTTGGGTGAGTTGGATTAGGATGAGGATCAATCCAAGCCTAATCCAAAGTCTTAAACCTTAAGTTTGGGCTTAGATTAATTTAATTATGACAAAAAAATTTAATTATAGATTAATTTAATTATGATTATGGCCTAGTTTTATATATTTACTGATCTTTAAGTATTTTAAATATTCAAGTGATATTTACAAAAAAAAATTAAGCATTTCATCATTTATAAAGTAAAATAAATAAAATATAACACTAACAAATAATATGGAAAAGTAATTATTTTATTAAGTAATTAGATATAATTTATTGTTTTTGTTAAAAATATTAATATAATTAATCCAAATTACTGAATTAGTAAAACACTTTTGTAACAATTTATTAAAATAAAATTTAATTATTTTAAACAACATTGCATTCTTTCCTTCGTTATAAGTTTTGGTTATTTCACTTTCCTTGATAAATCCCATGCATCGCACAGGTCCCTGCTAGTTGATCAAAAAAATTAGGTCTCAAAGTTTGCCATATATGAGAATGACAAACAAATTTTCTGTATGATGACAGCTTTAGCAATGGATTGGTCTTTAATATGTTCTCCTATCTCCAATTTCCCTAATGGTCTTCCCCATCTGAAAAAAGAAAATGACACAGGGAAACCAAGCAAGCCATTTACTCTGTAATCCCATTCCAACTTGGCATGTTCTGGACAGGCTGTCCAACTTGTCTTCAACAACCCCATCACCTGAACAAGCATATATGGATCATAACAAACATCTTGGTCCCTTGAAAGATCTGTTTCCCTACCTGATTATAAGCAAGTGCAATGGATACTGCACCTCGCATAAGACCAGCCCACCATATTGTAATCTGCATATCAAAACTGTTGTATTAGCATACCAATTAAGGACAAAAAACACAAAACCACAAGAATCCAAAACACTTACTTGCTGCTTTATGTGAATTTTTTCATTTGGATATTTCTTTGTTAAGTTTGATAGGAAAGATAGGGGGAAAACAAAAGCAGCCCTTCCGACCAAAATCAAGCTCAGAAGTATTGAACTCACCAAAATTGATTTTCCAGGGCTGCACAATAGTAGAAAAATAGTTCAGAGTGGGAGAAAATAAATGCAGTTTGAAACAAGCAGTACTAACATTCAATATAGAACTTTGCTTTCATTTTTATTATTGGATGGATTGTTCTTTTGCAAGAACCAATGATGAGTCTTAATATACCCGAATGATGTGTTAGATATATATAGCCCATACCTATTACTGACAAACCTCCATTTCTCAATATCCAAAGCATCCATACCAACATAAAGGAAGATAAATGTTTCAGTGACAAATGAAAAGGTTGCAAAAGCATGCCTACAAATATTGGTAAGCACATGCAAAACATTAGTTAGAAAACAACAGTGCTAAGCTTAGTAGCAAAACAAACAAATTTGGGAGGAAAAACCCTCAATGATATGAAATACATACTTAGTAGTGACTCTTGAACTCTCAGTCACATTATGCCAAGTGTAGTGGGACATCACAATCCCACAAAAGAACACAGTGAGAATACCACTCAAATAGAATAACTGCAGTCCATATAAGTTGGCCAAAATTAATACTAAAGCACTAATTCCTGAAATTAAATAAAGAACTTGATACAGAAAGAAAAATTCTTACTTCAGCCAGCATATAAGACAGGTAAGCCATGAGTATCATAAGTGCAACCTCACGATCAGTAGAGTGCCTGCAATTTTTGTATTACTGGCTATTAGAACTTTTGTCAGGAAAATAAAATTAAACTGGGTTCATATCAAACTTTTCTCTATCATAAACAATTCATGGTAAACACATGACCTTCGACATGAAGTAATATAGGGATAAAATTAACTACAAATAACTGCTACAATCTTGGAATTCACTGACCTGCCAAAATACAATTTTTTGATAATGAACGCACTAAGCAAACCAGTCTGGAGGAAAAAAGAAATAAATGTTAATATCACTTATGAACAATGAAGAGTCAATATAATCCCATAAGGCACAAATAGAAACATCAAGAGGGGGGAGGGAGAGAAAGACTTACAATCACTCCCAACATGGTGCTTGTTAAAAATAAATAAAAGAAGTTTCCAATAAAATGCAAGGCAATGGTGAAGTTGATGTTAGTAAGATCAAAACTCTGGATTGCATTAAACAGCACAACTGATGTAGCATCATTAACAACACCTTCCCCAAAGACAAGACTGTAAAGTAAAGGTGTTTCATCTTGATTGAGCACCTACACCATTAGGTAAAATAATTGTAGTTACATTCTGTTACATTCATAAACAACAGCACAGTTTCAAAAAGCTTCCCATACCTGCAAGGTGCAAACAGAATCTGTTGCAGAAAAAATTGCTCCAATTGCTGTAAATGTAAGATGAATAAAGATAAGAACACAAGAAAGAAGAGATATGGGAATGGAACACAGCATAAAGTAGGAAAGGGGAAAAGGGTATTATAGAAATTACCAAGATAATCTCCTATGTCAAGGGATCCCATATCCAACCTTTTAAAAAATTCTGTGGCACCTGAATTTAAGAATAAAAATGTTAACAACATGAATGGATGATAAAACCATAAGATAATTTAGTCGCAATGAATAAAAACATTGTGAACAACCAAATGCTAATATTCAATAGCATTTGTCAACTTGAAAACTCTAATCTAATACGTTTAATTCACAATCCCTTTTTCTTTTGTTTCCCTTTCTGCCACGTAATAAACATTATTGGGAAAAAAAAAAGAAAAAATTGAGCAAAAAAAGGTTATAAGAGCTCACTTTTACAGAGAACCATAAAATTTTATAAAAAGGCAAAATAGGTTATACTGACAGCCTTCAGATGTACGATAGTTTTCATCCATACTTGTAACATAAAAAGAAAAATAACAGTGATAATGCACCAATAGTCTGTGAACATATAATAAAATGATTTAAATTGTAATCTAGAGTCTGGAGTCATGCATAGCCCATTTTGGCTTATAAGACGTGCAGTTAACACTCACTGTCTACAAACACAAGCCATGTTTTCAGGTTCGATGAAATATGTTGCTTGTTATTTTTCAAATAAATAAAATGAGATGTCATATTTTATTATTTCTCAAATAAATAGAGCATAAGTGTATCTAAGGAATTTGACAGATTCCCATTTCAGAGTGTACCAGACCAACATTTCATGTGGATTTGGTGTGGGAATTTGAAGAAATTCTCAAACATTATTCACTCAATCAAAAGAATAAATTTTTATTAATTTGGGCAAGGCCCTCTCAGAGCATCGTTTAGATGGCACCCCTGATTACATCTCCGCAAAGAGCAGAAACAAAATTGTTTGATTACGATTTGGACAAATAAATATACAGAACAAACCAAAATAATTATAATTCTTTAAAGAAGAACTCCATTTGCATGTCTTTACATATCCAGATTTCATTGAAATAAGAAATACAAAATACAACCAATAAACTTTACAACATCATTTCCCTTTTTGTACGAATATAATGATTGGTATAAACACTTCCTGGATTAAAAGTTTCAATTTCATTTCTTTTCTTTGCAGTAAGCCATAGTTAGATTGAATAAATAGCATTGGTCTTCCAGATCTTTTGCACTTAGAAGACAACTGTAGCCTAAACAATCGGATTATAGTCAGTTTTATCCCTTTTCTTGTCTTCAGATCTGCATTATTAGGGAGCCAGCCATGTTCAGCCAAGTTAAAGACCAAGAATATACATTTATTTTAAACTCTCCTTAGTAGGGGGACCACAATCAACCAAGTAAAAGCACTAGATAGTAGATGGTTTTTTCCTCTAAGCCCACAATTTCTTCTTTTACAAATGAGGTTTAGAGATTTAATGAAAAGGAGAAGAAAGCAATAAGAATATTGTAATATGAGAGGGAAGACATATTCAAAGAGGATATTTGCAAAGAAATAGATATGTTGGGTGTGTTCTCTTTCTTCTTCCTTTTCTGTTTCTTATCTTCTCTATGAACCTTCTCTCTTTTTTATGTCTCTCTTTACTCTAAAGATTGAACTCCTTCAGACTCTCGAGTCTTGAAAGTGTTGGGATTACTTAAAAATCTTTCTCCAGGAAAAGGGGGTTGTAGTCCCCCTTCACCCATGTTTGAAGTGAATGGTACCTGGTCTCCCATTTAATGAGGGAGAGTCAGATGTTGGACACTCTTTTAGTGGCACAGATGGGCTTTAATGAGCCCATTAACCTTCTTTTATGGACATGGTCCCTATCCATTTAATTGGGTTTTAACAGGCTTTAGGTAATTGGATTGCATGGGCTTATAATTAAGCCCATTCCTTTTCTTAAAGTTAAGAGACGTCTACTTGTATCTTATTATTAATTTTGCTTTCATAAAACAAATGGTTTCAATATATACATATATATGGAGGTAGAAGATATTCTGATATTTGTTCCACTTTCTTTTTCCAAGGGAAAATAGTAATTCTAATACTCTGTTCTAGAGGGCTTAAGGACTGCCAACAGATTACATTTTAGCCCCTTAGCTGTTGAAGGTGATTCCAGAAACACCATCAAGTGGGCTAAAAGGCATGGAAGAAAAACCTTGGAGGATTGCTCACCTTTTTTCAGAGGTTCATGATCTTCCTCACTGAATTGTTCTTTTAGATGGATCTTAATCATGAAGCAGATGGTTTAACAAAGTTAGGTTTGGGAAGGAATATTTTGTATAGTACGGATTCAATGCTTACTTAATTGCCCAGGCCTTTTGTACATCTCTTATGCACATCCTTGATCCTTCCCGTTTTTTGAATACAAGTTACCTTTTCTCAAAAACGCGCCCCCTTCTTATGCTTATCAATAAAAGGACATGAATTTTTTCAGACACACCCATGGTGGGATGAGGGAGTTGAAACAAAGATAGGATTAATATTTTCCTCATATATTTTACCAAATCTATGATTGCATTCCATCTTTAACAATTTTTACAAGATTAACAATTTAACATAGTTAGCCAAGTGCTTGCATTACCAAACGGAGAAATAGCAAATGAGGGAATTTGGGGTCAACACTCAAGATCTGAGTGGTTGACAATGTATGTACTTAACTGCTACGATGCACACAGTGCACCACAATAAGTATGCATGACAGTTCACCAAAGATTTTCTTTCTCCATTCAATAACATTGGAGGAAAATATATGATTTAAAATAACTAAAAATACATATAATTGAAAATATTACCTGTTGCAATGATGCTAAAGGATATCAATGTACCAACAGCACCAAATAGTATGATGGTTGTGAAGTTGCGGAAAAATTGTTTCTTTTTCACTTGAAACCTGGTTTTCATTTGATAAAGAATCAAAATAATAAGCCTTTCAAGAAATTGCTAGGATCACCAAAACTAAAACAGGAAAAAATAAAGAAATAACCAAATATCAAGTAAGGAGAAATAGCAATAAAGATACATAATCAAGTGAAAACTGATCAAAGCAAAAAATAATAATAATAATCAAAACAGGAAGAAGAAAAGGAGTAAAAATGAAGAGTATGTGGCATCTGTCTTAGACAACTAATTCCTCCACATGAATAGAGCCAACCACGTTATAACTAGTGTTGGTAGTTTTAGAGAGAGAAAGAAGCAACAGGCACATAAAATTTTTGTGCCACGTATCAACATCACAAATGGGCTAATTTTGGAAATCCAAGATGGAATCCCAAACTTACTACTTACAAAAAGCTCAAGTTCAAATTAAGTGGGTCTTGACCAAGCCCAATTCTACAAAACAAAATTCAGATTCAATGGGCTAAGTGGGACCCACTAAAAGAGTCCCTAAACTTCCTGAGTTATCTAGATAAAAAGATAAGGTTAAGTGAATCCTATTCAAGGTGGGTACTCTAACCTTAACTCTAAGGATAAGGAGAAAATCTTATCTCCTAATCACATGAGCCCACAAGTTTAAAGTGATCGTCTGAAACTCTAATAAATAAGCTTTCACCAAGAAGGTTGAGACCAACTAAGACTCTTTCAACATACCTCCATAAAGAGGTTCTCATTCACAAAAAAAAATACCCTTTTTCCACTCACAGGAGATCTGTGGAAGAACTAGAAGAAAGTTCCAAAGTCCTCCATTCACAGAAAACCTCCAAAGTTCTTTTATCACCTTTTTTTCCAACTCATAAAAGGTCTCTAGGAGAACAAGAAGAAAGCTCTAGAGACCTCCATCTACAGAAGACCTCCAAAATTCTTCATCGGCAGAAGCCTCATAGTTCTTCAATAACTCAAGAAATCCTTTATGCCTTTCTACAAGAGATCTCTAAGGTACAACAACAACAAGATTTACAATCACCAGTTCAGGAAGAATCTTTACCAACTCTTGGATTATGTACATTTCTAGATTCATTGGAGAACAAGATTTTCAAGCCCTCAAATTGAATCTCTAAACATTTGTTTCCCATTTTATTAAATATCAAAGATTTGATATTTGTCATCATTTTTCTATGTTTGGATTTTTAGACAAGAAACTTGTATTGACAACCATATTATTCATCAAAAAAAAAAAAAACTCTATGATGTATTAGTCACCTTGAGCTTATGGCTATAAAATGAATGACATAAAAAGGTCATGAACTTAACATCCACAAGGATACCTAAGAAGCACTCAGTTCTAAATGTTATTCAATTTTCTCCATTGCAAAATGCAAAATAACCTCAGTTTTTTGAGAAGCCCATCTAGCTTTTATCATCCAACCATGCATTCAGTGAATCCAAAATTATCTTCAGCAGATTTGATTTGTCAAGTGTTTCTTTGAAATTTTAATTAAAGATCTCTGATTAAAAGTGTCTGTGTATGTATGAAGAATTTTATTGCATGGATGCTTAGAGTTTATTATTTTTAAGAATAGTCCATTGCTATAATCTTTTGACGGGAGGAATTTCTATTTCAACCCAAGATAGTAATTCCTGAAAATTGAGAGTTTTTACAAGTAAAGCAGCACTGCATTAGCAGTACCTAAATTGATAAGAATTATAAAATGTCCTCATCAGCTGCAATATGCTTCATGTATTGAGGTTTAAAACGCACCACCTGAAATTTCTTTGTAGTGTTAACAAAAAATGTTTCACCATCTAAGTGATATAATAATGTAAATAGTTACAGTCTTGTTGATTATTTCATCCATCTTTTTTTTTTCCTGTCTTTCTTTCATGTCTATGGCTGTAAACAGATCAGATCCAGCTGCATCCACATCCAATTATGAAACCTCAAGATCAGCATCCGCATCCGGCTATCATGTCGGATTTTGGGTCAGATTCGGATTTAATCCGCAACCATCTTATTGTATTTGAGATGTCCAAAAAAATTAAAAGAAGATATGTGTGTGTGTGTGTGTGATTTAAAAGGCACGCCTAGGCACACAGGCGAGGCACATTTTAGGGTAGGCGCCTCGCCCAAGTCCTAGGTACAGCCCATTCAAAAGGTGCATGCCTAGTGCGCCTTGCACCTTAGCCCAGGCGTGAGCTTTTTGAAAATTTGCCGCTTTTTCCTTTTTTTGAGACCGAACCTTCGAGAACCTCCTATTTGGTAATGTTGTCCATTCATTCATCCTAATAAAACATCTTCTTAAAAGAAATTAAAACTATAAAATCATTATTTTTTGTGTGAAAACTAAGAAATTAAGACCCTAACATGGACTTGTTTGGGCTTGCCTCAAGGAGTGTGGCACAAAGGCGGCTCGTAGAATTAGGAATGTAATATGTCACATTAGCTAATTGATGCAATTGAGAAAAAAAGAGATTGTGGGTTTTATATGCTTGAAAATGTTTTATATGTTTGATTTCATTTTTAAATTCTCATTTTTGAATATGCTTTACATATTATGTTTATGTATTTTAATTTTAGATAATAGGTTTTTTAAAACATTTATTTTAAAACTTAAGTTTATATTTTTATTAATACTATGTTTTATAATTTTTTTTTTTTTGAATGTTTTGCATTTTATTGCATTTTTATGATTTTTTTTTAATTTTTTTGATTTTTTTAGCTTTCTTTTTAAATTGTGCGCATTGCCTCAAAAAGGCGCACGCCTCACCTTGCGCCTTTCACTTTTAATATATATATATATATTGATGAATGAAGATAATTTATTAAATCAGAAAAAAAGGCAATACAGGAAACCCAAGAAGAGGCACGAGCTGTTACCTCTTCAAAAAAGTATTACATCAAATTAAAAACAGAAATAGCCATAAGTAAAATTATATAGCAGCCCAAAATAAATGTTCCCTTGAAGCCCCCTACTTAGCTAACCCATCCGCTAAAGTATTTGCTGATCTCCCCACCCAAAGAGAGGTAACAGTCATGTTTCTTGTAAGCCAGTTGACTTGCCTCAATAAGTCTCTTTGTCGCCACATGGCTGAAGCTGGGTCTGTCAGCCATCCCAGAAGAATCTGAGAGTCTCCTTCAACTACCAAGTGCCAAACTCCTAATTGTTCTGCAATCTGAATACCTTGTACCGCCGCTAAAATCTCAGATCTATTAGAGTCTCCTATTCCCACGGGGCCTAAAAACAAGGCTAAGATGTTGCTCTCCGTATCTCTCAACACCCCTCCTATCCCCGATGGGCCTGGGTTTCCTTGGCTGCCACCATCAAAGTTCAGCTTTATCCATCCTTCGGGCAGAGGGATCCACACTGCAGATTCCCTATCCTTCCTTGTATGGCTATTAGCCACCGCTATCCAATTTCTCCAAATATCATCAAAGGAAAAAGTATGAAAGAAGTCCATAGTTCTCAACCAATGAATGGCCCTAGTCAAGATACAATTCTCAACAGCCTGAATGCTTCTTTCCTTTTCCTTGAATATCCTTGCGTTCCTTTCTTCCCAGATTGTCCACAATGCGGCTGCTCTAATACATCTCCACATCATTTTTCCTTTTTTTGTAGACCATACAAAAAAGGAAGGATCAAACAACTGACTTAAAATTATAAACTTTATAAAATATTATATCAATTATAAACTTTACATTATTATACATAATATATATACTATATACATAAAATAATAACTTTTTTATTAGACTCAAATTTTAATCAGATCAGATGGGGTTAAATCTGCATCCGATCCAATTATTAATCAGATGCAAGTTCTAACATCCGCATTCAGTATCATTGGATTTGGGGTCGAATTGGGTATCGAACTTTCAAAGTCCATCGATGGCCCTATTCATGTCAGAAATGTCTTGATAAGAATGTTGCTAGCACCACAGGCCTTCTCCACCACAAAGATGTCAAATCACATCACATCAGGACAAAAACATAAACGAGGACTTTCATGCAAATACAAGGGTTTAATGGGAGCTACATCTTGTCCACTTGTGATTTAAGAGGACCTTGAAGACCAGGACCATGACACTGGCATCTACTATCTTGAGGAAGATCATTTGAATCCTTGATATCAATCCTCCAAAAATTAGACATTTGGTAGATGAGTAGGCACCTCGTGGCTCTTAGAAAAGAACCCTCATTGCACATTGTTCTTCCTAGTTCCTAATAAGATTAGTGTGACAACATTTCATCAATAATTACAGTACCTATATTGCTGAAATAAATAATATGAATTCACAAATTACTCGTTGTAAAATGCATATCATAGAAACAGCAGCAAAGGTTGCATTAATAGTAAAGATAACACGATGAACATTCGATAATGGTAACATCAGTGAAAGAGATACGCTAAAATACTATATTATTCCTTCATTCAGGTCATTGACACAACCATCAGCACCAGAAGATCCAGAAAACTTCACCTCAATATGAATTAAAGTTTACAAAACATACAAAACACACGCACATAAAGCACACATGTGAATATTCATGTATTTATGAATTGATAAGAAGACCTGAAACTGATAAAAACATGAATACTTTTTCTGATAAATAATTTAATAAATATAAAATGAAATTAGTTTGTTTATGGATAATCTTCTCATATGATAACTAATGATTTAAATACGGAATATAAAAGATTAAAGAATAATGAAGAGAGGAACCAAACAAGAAATACTTCATATACCCTGCATTAAATATGATAGGTGGGAGAAGATAAATGAAGAAAAGATCTTCACTAAAGACTAAAATATGCGAGCTTTTTCCTCCAGTAGTTAGTAGAATAACAACTCCAGTACACAAACCCTGCCACCAAACAACATAAATCAAATACTATTTACAATAATCCATTACAAAGGCAAAAAGAACAATAAAGAAACGGAATCACCAACTCACAATCACTAGGGCCGTAATTGACTCATTCATCCATCGGCTCTCCTCCAATAGATGACCAATCACAATGCAAGCACAAAGGAGCGCCACAAACAAATTCATGGAAACCACGGAGGCATGATCAGATGTGGATAGCACCCCCGGCCTCATTAAACCAGAGCCTGACAAGAAAGCCATCCTCACCACCGCGATCAAATAACCAAACTAGAAGGCACAAAATAACCGAGTAAAGTCCGATATACGGCTCGGCTTCAAGTTTCCTTTATACCAAGCAATCTCATGTCTCTGGACTATCCATTCCAAGAGCTCCTCGAACTCAATCAAATGGAAATCTGGAACGAGAATTAAAAAAAAAAAAGTCAAATTTCATATCACCAGATTGATCAATACGATCCAGTGCAATTAATAAACAATAAATCAATTCTTCATGAGACTCTCACACGTCTAAAATTCCAGAAAGGCAGAAAGTTTATAATATTCTTACAATCAAACCTCGAAGCAAATGACCCATGAACAAGATCAAATTCCTGAATCGAAATCCGATTACGAATGGCGAAATCAAGAGCGAAACCAAAATGATGAATGAAACCAAAGAAACTAAGCGTTCGAATTAATCCACTATCCAGGTTCTTCTTCGCAAAGAAGAGAAATCCACGGTCGAGTCGAGCAGAGCAGTCGTTACAAGGACGAATACAGAAATGAGAGCGCCAGCTCCGAGAATTCTTGAAGAAAAACCAGCTGGGTCACGAACGAATGGTTGGGCGATTAGGGTTCCAGGAGCGCCGTACCTTGGATGGGATTTGGAAAGACCGATCCGAAAGCAGAGAGAGAGAGAGAGAGAGAGAGAGAGAGGGAAGAGGAAGGAAGCAGCGAGAGCAGTTAACAAAGAAACAAAGAGAGAATGGAGGCGGGAAAGAGAAGGGAAGGAACGCGTTAAAATGGAGGTGTGGGAGAAGGAAAGCAAACGATTGTCTGTGTTCAAATTCTTTGCTTCTTATGCACACGCCAACGCCACCAGCAAAACAGTTGGGGAAATCTCTAAAGCCTGTCTTGTCCCCAACCCCCGACCCTCGCTGCAGCTGGAAACTATGCCAGTTACAGTTTAAACCCGCCACGTCTCTTTTCTATTTTTCGAACTACTAAAAACGCCCTTCACTTTGAAATCGGGTGACGACTGACGGTTCTCTTTCTATTTGCCCAATTGCCAAAATTACCCCTCATTCCATGCTCTTAATACACAAAATATATTTACATATACCTTCCATTTTGGGAAAATCCTGTGATTTTATTTCTTGATTTCTACGGGTTTTACACATAGAGTGGATATTCAATAAGGCTATGTTTGGCTTAAAAAAATAAGGCCATGTTTGGTTTGATAAAAAAAACTAGAGAATGACCACCCAGTATTTAAGGCTATGTTTGGTTTGAAGGAAAAGGTAGGGAAAGGAAATGAAAGAAAAGGCTTCTTTTCCCTACCTTTTTCCTTCAAACCAAAAACAGCCCAAGAGTTCTAGTATTCTGATAAATTTTGTTTGGCATGCATTGTGAATTTAGGTTAGTTTTAATTGATATATATATAGAGAGAGAGAGAGAAAGAGAGAGATTTATTATTTAATTTAGGAGGCATTTGGCAAGTCTTATGGATGGGTTTTTATTTTTTTTCAATATATATTCGTTGCATGGAATGGATATTCAATAAGGCTATGTTTTGTTTGATAGAGATTGAGCACCCAGTATTAAGTGTGGGGTTAGTATTCTGATCAATTTTGTTTGATAGGCATTTAGTATTGTAAGTTTAGGTTATTTTTATTTTATGGTTTTTTATATATAGATTTGTTATTTGATTTAAGAGATTAAATCAGGTTTAAACAATAACCCACTTTATGGATTCTACATCATTTGACTCCATGGTTTTAATACAAAATAATACCTTCGATTTAGAAAAAAAAAAAAACTGTGATTTTATTTCTTGATTTCTATGGGTTTTTCTTTTTTTGGTATGGTCTTCACATGGAAGGGATATTCAATAAGGCTTTGTTTGATTTGATAGAAAATAAGAGGGGAATAGAAAATTAAGGGAAAGTTCTTAACAAATTTTTTTAGGCTCAGTTTGGAAGGAGTACAAATACAAATATGTACAGTATAAATATATACAAAATATAAAGTTTTGCACTCTACATATTCTCTTAAATTACTATTTATCTCTTATTTATTTTCTCTCAGGCCAAATACAGCTTAGCTAACAATTCATTCCATTTTAATGTGATTATCAAAATAAAACAAGGCTTCTCACCTGAACTCAATCCATTCATTCCATAAAATTCAAATTAAAGGTTAAATTTTATATTTTAACTAATTAACACTTTAATATGATTATATAACCTTTTTTAGCTTTTAAGAGCATCGCAATTATGCCTAGAAAGCACTCCTGTAACTAAATTGAAGTTTCTACTGATTATGAATCAATAAAAAAATAATTGGGTTATTTTTCCTTAGATTCATTAATGTTTTTTATAAGTTGTAAAAATCATATACCTATGATACCTAAATAATTGCATAAGATAGTTAATGAATACTTCAATATTTAGTGTAAATTCCATATCCAATACCTTGTCTAATTTGCAAGGTGCCAATTGACCAGTTGGTAAGCTAGTTGTAGTAGAGACTTGGGATCGATTCCACCCACACCAAGGTTGGGGGATGGGTCACTCGTCGAGTTGTGTAGTCCCATATATAAATTACATAAGTTGTGTTTGATACCATTGTAGTTTCTACTATAAATTTTTTAGGTTGATCAATACAAATTCATGAGATAGATATTTTTTTACTTGATATTTTTGGGTGGATCAATACAACTTGTTATTTCTACCTTATAAATGTCGATGTTCAAGAATTTGGGTTGTTTTTACCTTATAAAACGTTAATGTTTAGTACCACATGCATTTTTCTAGTTGGAATGAATCTCATAGGCAATCTAATAAATCATATTTCTTATAACCAATTTGCATTAATCAATTCAAAACAATCAGGTAGAAACAACAAGGGTTTTGGCTTGGCATTTCATCACCTGACTAGGAGTTTAGGTCTTATCAACTATTAGGCCCCATTCGTTTACAAATTTCTCACTTATATAGGTAAATGCATTTATCTAGGTAAATGTTTTCTGTGTAATACTTACCCGGGCAAGTCCATTTATCCATGTTCTTTTGATTCTCATATAAGTGGTATAATGACATTTTTACCCATAAAAAGCTAAAGTTAAAAAGGGGAAATTTGTCCCATCATGTGTTTATAAACTTTACCCCCAAGTGGAAAAGTTATTTACCCACTTGAGATAATGTAAGTTTTACCCAATTAAATGAAATTATCTTTACTATGGGGCCCAGAACTTAATGCAAAAAGAGAACTGTAAATTTGGTTAATGAAAAAAATATACCCATTGACCAATTTCCCCCCTCTTATTTAACAGTAAACGAACGAGGCCTCAATATCAACCCATTATCTTTAGGTTCTCAAGACTAGGGCTGGCTTCAAGCCGAACCAAATACTAGGCTATTTCGGTTCGGTTCACTGGAATTGTTTCAGGCTCGAGCTCAGCTCGGTTTAAAGCTCATAAGTTTGAGCTCAGCTCGGCTCGAGCTCAACTACAAGCCAAGTTTTTTCTAAAAAATAAAAATTATACATATAAGAATATTTTATTATTTTACATACAAAAAATTAAGAATTATAAAAAATTATTTGTTATTATACATATAAAAAATGTTTTTATTTTACATACAAGAAAATAAGAATTATAAAAATTATTTACTATTATACATAAAAAATAAAAAGATTATATATAAAATATTTTATTATATATATTTATGTGTATGTATATATATAACAAAAAATTATTTATTTATTGTACTAGGCTCATGAGCCTCACGAGTCAAGCTTCACTAGGCTTGAACTCAGCTCGATTAGCAAACAAGCCTATATATCTGGCTCGAGCTCAACTCAAAGCTCAGTTTAAACCAAGCCGAGCTAAACTTTTTACAAGCCGAACTCGGATAGCTCATGAGAAACTCGGCTCGTGGCCACCTCTACTCAAGACTTCTCTTTTTGTAAGTTACATTGCCTCCTAAAGCTCCATTTTGTGTTCCTTAAGTGATTGGTGGAGGCCAATATTGAAAATGTGTTTGGTTTCGTGGGCATTTATAGGTGGAGTGTTTGTCAAATAAATGTTTAATTGAAAAACATTACTTTACATATTTATTGTTTTTGTTGTTTGGTTGGGCGTTTCATGAATGTTTCAAGTAACACCCCATAAAGTTATCTTCCACCCCCAGCTTATAATGCTTCAGATAAACATTTCATTTCAATAAACATTGGGGCATTGGTAGGAACCAGAATTTAAAATTTCTCACAATGATTTATGCACATAAATCCATTTGTTTCTATTTTTAATATTTATTTAATAAACTTTAAAACCAAACATTGATTTCCTGCACAATAAACGATAATGCCTAAATAGTGCTAATGCGACATCGTTTTTCTCTAAACGCCCCCAGGACAGTGAATTTTCAAAGCAAAGGGGCGATTGATTTTGAAATCCCTTTGTTCATAGGAATTAATTCAGGCACAACTCATTTTTCATTTTTTAAAGCTCGATCCGAAATTCAAATTCCAACCCCTGCTGTCCAGCGTGCTCATGACTGAGGAATCTGTGTACAGAGCATTGCTTTTCTGAGATCCTGGTATTCCGCCATAATAATTATAATCACTAAGCTCTTTACACTGATTATGCTTATTTAATCCTGTCGCTATGGGGGTGTACAGTGCAGGCCAGAGGCCACTTTCTCCGAGTCATCATCGATTCATCCAGTGCTTTCTGGTCGGATTCTGCTCGTGCTGAAGTGGTACACGTGGCCCGGATATGCTGTATCCCTGCACACCATGAATGCAACAGAGCTTGGCTTAATCATGGGCGTTTCTAGTTGGTGTGATGATGATAACTAGTTAAAGATAGTGTCGGATTTTGGATTCTGGAACTCCGGTCAGATCAGGAAACTTACACATGCCTCCAACTAGGGGTGTCAATTGGACTGGATTTGGTCCAATTCGATGTAATCAATTGTGAGTTCATTATAAATGGACTAGGTCCAATTCAATTTAATAAATATTTTGGACCAATTTAGACTGATTCAATTCAATGTATGGGCCGTTCAATCTGTTCAAAAATTTATTTTGATTTAGATTGGTTTTAACTCAAACTCAGTCCATTGACACATATATTCTTATCTTATGTCAATAAACCAGATACTGACTTAATCCAACCCAATCCAATATAAAATTGTTACGATGAACCAGGTCCAATTCAATCTCATATATATTTTGGACCCCAATCCAATATGTCTTGTTGGTCCATCCAATCTGTCCAAATTGATTTTGGACTGGATGAGATCCAATCCAAAGTCGGTCCATTGACACCCTTACCTCCAACGATGCCTTGGAGCGTGGAAGTGGGGGTGAATTTGAGCCAAGCCGAGCTGAATATCCAGTTATTCTAGTTTGGCTCACCAATATTTTGATATTTATTATTTTTATATGTATAATATATTATATTATATCATATGATATATATATATATATAGTGAAGCTTTATTGGGATCGAACTTGGCTTGATTAGCAAATGAGCCTACATATTAGACTCAAATTTGGCTCGAAACTCAGTTTAAACCAAGCCAAATCAAGCTTTTCACGAGTCAAACTCAAATAGATTGTGAAAAGCTTGACTCATGGCCACCCCTACATGAAAATTGAATCTCTTAGATGCTTTTGCAGAGGACCCGAAGGCATGTACAGATTTGGAGAAGATCCACTACTTTTTTCAGAAAAGTAAGGTGAGGGTGGACCCATTGACAAATGAAAAGAGGGTCTTTTGTGTTGAAATGGGAAAGCAAACCAAGAAACCCCCTTCAGTGTAATTTGGATTTCCTCTATAAATTCATTATCCTCACAACATTTATAGCAGTGCATTGAAAATATCTTTTCATGAATGAAAACATACGTACAAGAGATATTTCTAACATGTATACGTACATCTTTTCATGAAA